AAGGAAGGGAGAGGGAGAGAGAGAGAAACATCAATGATGAGAGAGAATCATCAATCAGCTGCCTCCCCACTGGGGCTCGAGCCCACAGCCCGGGCATGTGCCCTGATTAAGAATTGATCGTGAGCTCCTGGTTCATAGGTCGATGCTCAACCACTGAGCGACGCCAGCCGGGCTAATCAGAAAGTTTTAATTTCAGACCATCCTTTGTGGTTACTCTAGGTCTCCGAGTTTGTAAGGTCGCCGTGCAGGCCTCCCCTGAGGTTTAGTATGTGGCCCCTTTCGTCCACAGTCAGATGTAATTTTACAAAGTTCTCTGCAGGGTGGGCTTCAGGCCCAATCTGGTAAGGAGGGGAGACAAGGAAAACCAGCAAGGAGGGCCTCCAGTTAGGCCTATGGGTTTGTGTGCCAAAGCCTCCAAGAAGCCCAGGCCTGAATGCAAAACTCTAAGGCAGGGGTCCTCAAACTACGGCCCGCGGGCGACATGCGGCCCTCCGAAAACATTTATCCGGCCCGCCGGGTGTTTTTGCTGCTGCTGCCTGTCCTGCTTAGCAGCGGACTCGTCCTGGGCCCGCAGTGCGCATGTGTGGAATGTCTGAGGGACAGTGAACTGGCCCCGTTTAAAAAGTTTGAGGACCCCTGCTCTAAGGTTTCAAGGGTGTATAACAACTTGGGGGGCGGGGAGGGGAGGACAGGGAGGAACCACACTGTAACCATCTTTTATGGGTTTCAGGCTAGCTTGTCCGAGGGTTATGATCTGAGAGCCTCTATCTGAGAGCCTCATGCAGATTAGCAACCAACCAGTGAAGTAGTAGAGCAGTCTTGTACTTCATTTCTTTTCTTTTTTTAAGATATATTTTGCTCTATCCACTGAGCCACACCAGTTAGGGCTATACTTCATTTCTTAGGTGGGTGAACTGCCCTAGTCTCTCTCTCTCTCTCTCTCTCTTTTCCTTTTTTAAATTGATTTTGAGAAAAATAGGAGAGGGTGAGAGGGAGGGAGAAAGGGAGGGAGGGAGGGGGAGGAAAAGAGAGAGAGAAACACCCATTGACCATCCATGCATTCATTGGTTACCTCTTC